ATTAGCATTTTAGGGGGGGGGGGGGGCTTTACATTTGGTCCCCTGCCCTCTGCGGTTAGAATGAGTCACACTTTAATGATCACTTTAATAACTCCTTCATGGCACACCCAGCGTTACCACACAACCCCAAAAGCCCCATGGCTTTGTGGGGTCTCACCAGGGTAGCAGATTTTGCCTTGTACACACATGCGATGACTCACCGGCCCAAGAGTGAGGAGGAGACTCAGCCCAAGTGATTCCGTCAGGTAACGAAGGGAAGGGGGAGGAGTCTGTCCGTGACGTCACCGGACTCCTCCCTCCTTCCCTTCGTTACCCATCACGGACAACTACATCACCCGACTCCTCCCCCCTTCCCTTCGTTAGCCGACAGAGCCACTCGGGGAAGGGGGGAGGAGTCCGTGACGTCACCGGATCTCCGACGGAAGACCCGGAAGCCGGTGGAGAGGTGAGTAACTTTGATCGATCAAAATAATTTTGATCGATCAAAGAAATTAACGATTTATTGACGGCACACCAGAAAATATCTCACGGCACACTAGTGTGCCGCGGCACAGTGGTTGAAAAACGCTGCAATAGAAGACTATGTAACAAATGATGATTATTCAGAATAACATTTTCAGAACTTCATTTTTTAGGGTTAGCTATATGCAGACAATCAATTGTTGTGGTTGTCAGGTTTGCCAGGGAAATCTATTTGCATGTACAGGTCATGGTCAAAGCTCAGCAGTTTAAAACATTTGTAGTACAATATATCTGTACAGTCTTTATTTTTACCTAATGTTTTACTATTATTGTCTTTTTTCACTAGTCGTTTGAAAGGGTTTTGGTGGAAAACAAGTTGCATGGCCTTTCTCCTGCCCTCTCGGAAGCTATCCAGAGCATCTCCAGATGGGAATTAGTCCAGGCTGCTCTTCCTCATGTTTTACATTGTACAGCAACACTACTCTCCAACAGAAACAAATTAGGTTGGTATTATTAATGGTGTTTGAGATGTCAGACTGTACTTCGCATACACAAGATTTCCAGTGACCATATTTTTTTGTTTACCAATAAGTAAAGATTCTCAACTGCCTACTGATAGGACTAGTCTTCATGACTCATGGGTTGTTTCATTTTCACTGAAACAAAGTCTTAATCATGTGTTTTTTTATACATAGGCCACCAGGATAAGCTTGGGGTGGCAGAAACTAAGCTGCTCCATACCCTCCATTGGATGCTTCTTGAAGCTCCCCAGGACTGTAGTAATGACAGGTTTAGCACTGACCGAAGCTCTAGCTGGGGTGCTGGTAGTAGTGCTTTTATCCATCATGAAAACCAAGGCTCCCCAGGACAGTTCAGGCATAGTAATGCCAATGAAGAGGATGAGAACAATCGAAGGAAGTTCCTACAGAATTCTATGGCCACAGTGGAGCTCTTTGTGTTCCTTTTTGCTCCTCTAGTCCACAGAATTAAAGTAAGTGGCTCACAATCTGATGTTACATGCATTTTATCCTGAGCTGCCTTTTGTGAAATTATTTTCATGCGATTGTGTAAAGATTGCTTATGGGATTTTGGGTCATGGGATTTTTCTTTTTAAGGAATCAGATCTGACTTTTCGTCTGGCAAGTGGTCTTTGCATCTGGCAGCCAATGTGGGAACACAGACATCCTGAGGTTTCTGCCTTTACAGCACTGGTAAAACCTATACGTAACATCATAACAGGTAATTGTGCTGCACACATCTGTATTCTTTCCTTAACTAAAAAATAATGCTATATTAAAGCTGTCACAAAGCTGAGCAGTTCACTGAGGTGCACCATATATATAACAAAGGTTCACGGAGTTCATGATCCCATGGCATCCTACCTTATTCCTTTAACACCGTAACACCTATCCCAGAGAAGCATACAGGAAATCAGTTTTATCATATTTACTTAATTCGGCCAGGAGCTGTATTCCTAAATTATGGAAGCAAGACAGGACCCCCTCTGTGCCAGTGTGATTCAGCAAGGTCAATAAAATTGTGCGCAAGGAAGATTTGATGTCTTATGACAGGGAACACATGCACCTCATGCAAGGTTTCCCACCCTAGATCCCAATTTGTCTTATAATTCCTCTGGTCGGATGGGGGGTCACCCTGTCACCTCCCTGTGCATAATTCATTTCCCTTCTCCTTCTTTTTCATACTTGCTTTGTTATATAATGTATAGCCGCTCTTAGACTGGCTAGTCACAACTGTTGGCTTGAAATATATGGGTAAATGTTTTGCTTATAACAAGCATTGATGATCACATACACCCATCTCTCTCTGTAGTTGGGCTTGGCACAGCCTTATCCACCCTCTGAGCTTCCTTGTTGGTTAATTAGGCCACCCAATAAAGAGTGGGAAATGAGCGGGTGAAGCTAATTTTTTTTTACAGGAAAGTTGAGATTTATTATATCTTTTGATGTACTGATGTTTGGATGTACTGATCATTTTGGCATATTTTCATATACACTTTCCATTCATCCCCCCAACCTCTTAATTTGCCTGCTGGGGATTAAGGGAGAGGAAGTGTTGTGTAATCTCCAAAAACTCTCTCTCCTCCCCTTTGTAACAGTACTAGGTGTCTGGTGACCAGTTACCAAGCACCAGTGATGTCATGTGGGAGAAAAATAGTCACCTGCTTCCCAAACCCTTAAATGCTAGTTATATATCCTCCCAGCAGCTAAACAGAGCAGCAGGGCACTTAAAGTGCAGCTTTGCCCCCTTTAACTAAAAATCTTACCAGCATGCAGCTCTGCATGCTGATTTAAAATCATAATACATTAATTAGTTAAACAAACATGTTTTTCATTTACATACAAATAGAGTTTATCCACTTCTTGGTCCACTTTGGTACATTGGAGGAAATGAACCCAAGCGTTGCACCCTGGGAAGGTTAAATCAGCAGAGCATTGCTGGTAAAATCTTATTTGTAATTTCATGAGATCTCAGGGGAAGGTTTTTTCCTCCCCTGAGATGATGTGCATGGTCACATGTCCTAGTCGCATGTGCCAGATTTCCACGAAGTAAAGGGAGATCTACTAACCTTCCCTTAGTTAAAATGGCCACTGTCAGAAGACTGGGGAAGAAAAGAGAAATACGGTATGTAAAGAATAAAAAGCCAGCAATTATCTAGAGGTATATGTTTGTAGAAAGTCATTACTAAACATTTCAAAAGGTGCATTTGTTGTTATTTGAAGATATGCGTAAAGTTCCTCTTTACGGTAAGTAAAAAGCAGCTAGCTAAGGTGGCAGTAAAATTAACTTGTTTCTTTTGCCCTGTTAATTGCCCTGTAACTAATTAGTCATATCCTCCTGAAAATGTATTAATAATGTATTTATAGCAGATTAAATAATGGCAACAAATATTGCAACTGAGGGATTCCCCTCAATTGCTGTCCCGTTGACACAAAAGGAAAATGTCCTAAATGAGAGCATAGACCATAATAAAAACATGACATGACATTTCCACTCTACTAAAATATACAGTATATCTATACAGTACTGTGCATATGTTTTAGATAGGTGTGAAAAAATGCTGTAAAGTATGAATGCTTTCAAAAATATATATTTTTATTGTTTATTTTTTATCAATTTACAAAATGCAAAGTGAGTGAACAGAAGAAAAATCGAAATCAAATCAATATTTGGTGTGACTACCCTTTGGCTTCAAACCAGCATCAATTCTTATACTTGCACACTTGCACAAAGTCAGGGATTTTGTAGGATTACAATCAGGTGTATGATTAACTACTTATACCAAGCAGGTGCTAATGATCATCAATGTCATATGTAGGTTGAAACACAGTAATTAACTGGAACAAAAACAGCTGTGTAGGAGGCTTAAAACTGGGTGAGGAACAGCCATACTCTGCTACTAAGGTGAGGTTTTATGTCATATGTCATGCACAATGGCAAGACTGAGCACAGCAACAGGACACAAGGTAGTTATAATGCGTCAGCAAGGTCTCTCACTCTCTCGCAGACTGGAGTTTCAAAATGTGCTGTTCAGGTTCTTTTGAAGAAGCACAAAGAAACGGGCAACGTTGAGGACAGTAGACGCAGTAGTTGGACAAGGAAACTTAATGCAGCAGATGAAAGACACATCATGCTTAATTCCCTTTGACATCGGAAGATGTCCACCTGTGCCATCAGAAACCAGTGGGACCCAGGTAAACCCATCTACTGTCCAGAGAAGTCTGGCTAGAAGTGGTCTTCATGGAAGAATTGGGACCAAAAAGCCATACCTCCGACGGGAAACAAGGCTAAGAGAATCAACTACGCATGAAAACATAGGAACTGGTGTGCAGAAATTTTTTAAATATTTGGCTGTAGCAGGAGGCAATTTGTTCACCGAAGGGCTTGATAGTGGTACAATAATGAGTGTCTGCAGGCAACAGTGAGGAGGTTCATTGCAAGTCTGGGGCTGCATTTTTGCCAATGTCATACAGCCAATGTCATTTAGAACTATCCTTAGTGTAAAGAAGAACAAGGAGCCCTGGAAGTGATGGTTTGGCCCCCACAGAGCCCTGATCTCAACATCATCAAGTATGTCAGGGATTACATGAAGAGACAGAAGCATTTGAGGCAGCCTATATCCACAGAAGATCTATGGTTAGTTCTCCAAGATGTTTGGAACAACCTACCTGGCGAGTTCCTTAAAAAATTTTGTGCAAGTGTACCTAGAAGAATTCATGCTGGTATGAAGGCAAAGGGTGGTCACTAGATATGTGCACAACAAAAAAAATTGTTTTTAAACGAAACAAATGAAAACGAAAAACGTTTTAATTCGTTTCGTCAAAGGAAACAAATGTTTATGTTGTTTCGGATTCGGAGGCAACGAGCCAATTAATCCGAAACCGCACACTAATGCCGCATGTTCGAGCGCCGCCATCTTGGTGTATACCAAAATCTACTCCAAAATGGCAGCTCGCAGAATGCGCCGGTGGCCAATTTGGCCACCGCTCGTTCAGAGTGTGACGTCACAGTCATGTGACATCACATGCTCCGCCTCCAAGATGGCAGTGGGCATGCGAAGAACACACTGGCGACCAATATGGCCGCCAGCATGTTCCAAAAATGAATTTATGTATCCCCGAATATCGTTTTAGTATATTCGGGCATATATTAAATCTGTTATTTCGGATTTGGACGAACCGCCGAATTAACTGATTTTCGTTGATTTGCAGGTTCATCCGAATGCACGTGTCTAGTGGTCACATCAAATATTGATTTGATTTGGATTTCTCTTCTGTATCATTTACTTTCCATTTTGTTGTTTGATAAAAAATAAACTATTAACACTTTTATTTCTTAAAGCATTCTTAATTAAGAGCATTTTTTCACACCTGTCTAAAACCTTTGCACAGTATTGTATATTCTTTTTACTTCTATCTGAGTCTTTGTTGGAGAGATTTCCTTTTACTTCCTGTTCCAGTGATTCAACGAGAGGTGAGCTTCTAGGAACACTAATGAACCCAGAGACAATAATAAAAATGGAGGTTCTACTACACTATCCAAAAATGTTTCCTCAAATAAAGTTGTAACACGATAAAAATAGAATGATGTGTTCCAATGGTAGACTCAGAAGGTATAATAAGTATTTGGGTATGTGTTGTGTTTATATACATAAATTGTATATAAATAAAGTTGCCGATACTATGTAAAAAACATTTGACTCCTGTCCATCTATTTATTCATGTTATGTATTCATTTAATTTATGTAATCAGATTGCTTTGCCAAGTTTATTCTTTTCTAGGACAGCATAATAAACGTGGAAAAAATACATCTGATATATATTGTAATTTTCTATCATCTATATTTTAGCAAAACGAAGTTCACCATGCAACAGTCAGAACCAAATGGTGGATTCACCGAAGCAGGATGCAGGATCCACAAAGGTAAAGCGTATTGAATACAGTTTTTCCCATAATCCAATACAAGTTATACAACAACTACCAGGTGTATTAAAAAAAAGTTAGATGTGGTGAAATATTCAGGTCCCGCTCATAGTTGTTCAAATACCAGAAAGGCATATTGTCCATAAAAACCCAATCCTAATATACTGTCATATATATCATACTATATAATTAGTTTAGCAGTATATATTATATTCTTTTTTTATAGCAGGGATATGAGGTTGTGTCTGAAGTAAGTCAGCCAGACTCCATATCACCCAGTCCACGACCTACTGCATCCAGCTGTCAGAGGGCTAACTCTTTTGATGGTTGTGCCACCTGCCAAACACCGCAGGAGAGAGGGCCTCCTCCACTTCCAAGGTACCATAGTAATTATTTACAATCTTGTCACACATAAGAAATGAATTATCTAATGTTTATAGTAACTTTGTTCTTCTTTGTGTTCATTTTAAGACCATCTTTGGTGATTCCACCATGCCAAAAATCCCGTTATGCCACATACTTTGATGTAGCAGTATTACGATGTCTGCTCCAACCTCATTGGTCAGAGGAGGGGACACAGTGGTCACTCATGTATTACCTCAATCGACTCAGGCACATGCTGGAGGAGAAACCAGAGAAGTCACCTGAGCCTGAGGAGCCCCCAAATCCACGTCCTCGCAGTAGCTCCATGGTGGCTGCTGCTCCTTCTCTTGTCAACACCCATAAAACCCAGGTGGGAAGTCACTTGGATAAGTGTTTGCATATATAAAAAATGTATATTTAATGAATTGTTATACCTGCATAGAATTTAGGACATATGTCACTTTTTTGAACAGTGTTTGCATTTTTACATTACCGTCATTCCATAGATAGCTTTAACAGTTCCTCTACCTGCCCTTCAATGCCTTTTTCTCAAAACCAAGCAGTTGATATGTTCAATAACAAGCAGTAAACATGTAAATGGGTTGTGATAAGCTGTTTGCTTGTTTATGAATTTAATATCAAGAGTAAATAGGAGCTGTGTCAAAAAAAAAAAAGAAAAGCTGGAGAATTTGAACACTATGTAAAGTGTAATATGCATTTTTGAAAGTAAAATAAACGAAGGATCCAGTGATATTAACTCAACACTTGGTATTTTTGAAGATCTGGATGAATACTTTTACAATCCTTGTATCTATAGATCTGCGCTTATGCAAAATAAAACCTAATGTAGGTAGTAAAGCTGCCACAAAACAGACACAGAGGTCCTAGAAATATGGATAATGATTATGCGGCGCTAAGTACCCTGATATTCCTTATACAGTGCAAATAAGTGATGTAAAATCAATAATATAATGAATTAATAAACCAACATGATTATAATTAATAAAGACTGGATATAAACCATCCAGATATAGAAAGTGACTAAGTAAATGTGACTGAATAAACCCATACATTTTATAAGTGATGAATGTGAAAAATCAAACAAAGTTCATAAGTCGTTTTTCAAATCCAGAAACATATAAAGTGCTTGGTGTCACACACGAAGCCCCATGGGCAATGCACACTCAACACATAGATAATGTTTTGAGACTCTGTCGGTATCTGAAGTCGATCATGGATCAGGGAATACTCAATGTTTCCTCCCAAATATATACGAATGATGTTTCATATATGGTAAAAGAATCAAAGGGAACTCCTCATGGTGAAGTATATACCAACATTTATTGATAAAACAAGTAAAAACATACATGTATTATAAAAACCAGCCGGTGTCTCATGAACTCCCGTGTTCACTTCCGCATTGATTGTGACGCTGTGACGTCAGATAGGCCCGGCCAACGCGTTTTGTCACCCAGGGCATTCTCAAGGGGATAGCAGGTATATCTGTTTCCTGTCTACGTGGACTCTCACCTTCTTTCCTTCCAGTGGATCAGGAAAAGTTTCAGAAAAGTTGTGACACGTTAAATCTTACAAAGAACGTGGAAAGTTTCCTCTCTCCTTAGAGGAATCGAATGAAACTGTGCTCACCCCAAATGCTTTGGCTCTGAGTGATTTTCCAATCCTTACCTCCTTTATTTTATAGGATATGACGAAATGTAATGAAGAAGACAGATCATTGGGTACAGAACCATATGCCAAAGTATCGCTGACTAATCTCCGAAGACCAGCAATACCAGATCTGTCCTCTGATCTTGGGATCAACATCTTCAAGAAGGTAAGATACTGAGTTTTAAAAACTCTAGAAGGTGCAAAACAAGTAATAACAGAGCATGAAGTATAATGTCTAAAATGTCCTTACCCCCACACCACAGACCAGTTGCATCCTCAAAGTATGTCAGGCTCTGTACAGTTTACTATCAGAAAAAATGTTAAAACTTTTGCCTATTACAAATGTAATTCCCCTAAAATGGGCACTTGCTTTTTGTTCCCTTCTGTGGCAAAGTGGTGGTTTTATTGCTGGTTATGTCCCTATTGGAGAGGTCCCCCTTCACCTTTGTCAGACCAGGAAATGAAGATCTAATGGGGACACAAATAAAGCAAAAACATATTTTCATTAAAGTAGGGAGCATATAGAACTGATGAATTACAGAAAGAAATACAGATAGACAGAAATGTTACCTCCCCACTCTGTCCAAGTAACTGAAAAAATAAAAAAGTGCTTGGACAGCACTATGTAAGTGAGGAATTCCATTTCATATTTCATTAACCTGACTGGAGACAATTGTGTATTATCAAGAACTTTTGCAACAGATATGACATTCAAAATGTAAACTAAGTTATGCTCTTCTACAGTTTAAGAGCCGGAGAGAAGATAGAGAACGAAAAGGATCCATACCATACCACCATCAAGGGAAGAAACGACAGCGCAGAATGGGGGTGCCGTTCCTACTTCATGAGGATCACTTGGATGTATCCCCAACCCGCAGTACGTTTTCCTTTGGGAGTTTTTCTGGTATTGGAGAGGACAGGCGCACTATTGAGAAAGGGGGCTGGCAAACCACAATATTAGGTGAGTTTGGTTGCTCAAGGCTCTGCTTATTAGTTATGAGTGGGCAGCCATATGTAGGGTTTAGGTTGGAATTAACAGGATATTTTTCACAGCCCCCACTGTTTATGACTATCAGGCAGTTAGGGGAGAAGAAGGGTTGCAAACAGTTGTTTTTGTTTTACAATAGCATAGGTTTGTTGGAAAAGCTTGTATGTGCTTCTATACACACTGATTGAAAGCATACAGATTGGAGGTTATGACAAAACATAGTGCTTCTTTCATCTCAAACAAGATTCTAGCTAATATCAATATATAAATATACATAGAGAGAGAGAAAGGTAGAAAGAGGGGGAGCTATATATATTTTCGGCAAATCAAAAGTAGCCTGAACAAGAATTTGCATTCAAAGCTTAATATAGCTGTTTCCATTTTTTTAAAGTTTAATCTGTTTAAGTGCTTGCTTTGTTTTCTCACTATATAAATGATTGGACTGGAAATGTGTACAGGTGTCAACTGACATTTAAATGCTTAGGCCTATCTAAATGTTTAAATGCCATTTTGAAAGTATTCCAGCTATGATCTCGCTTTACTGGATACTAGTTTTAGAATGGAGGACATAGATGTCACTAGATTACAGGGCATGATGGTTATATGAAAAGATTTAGCTTGTCGTTCTTATGGGGTAAGTCTAGTTTCTAATTGTGTTTTACCTCTGCTGATTCAGTAATAATTCTGTGTATTAGTCATATGTCATGTTGAGGGGCTGACATGTTGCATTTTCTTAGAATTGTATTTATGTATGCTATCCAGTAATTCCAAGATTGCTGAAATACTATTTTTGAATGTTGAATACATTTTGTTAATAGTTGCACAATGTTAATATTGCTCAAGGTAAATTCACCAGACGTGGGAGCTCTGAAACAGCTACAGAGATGGAAAGTTTGAGCGCAAGACATTCCCACTCCCATCATACATTGTTAAGTGACATTCCTGACCATTCTAACAGTCATGGAGAGAACACCAATAAAGAGGGTACGTACGATGTAAAGGGTGGTTATGTATGCTTTGTAAGATACCTCAAGTAATAGATTCAGTAACATAAGCATACTGATTCATTGCAGTGAGATCCCAGATTTCCACCATAACTGTGGCCACATTCAACACCACACTGGCTTCTTTTAATGTGGGCTATGCTGACTTCTTCACTGAGCATATGAGAAAACTCTGCAATCAAGTGCCCATCCCCGAGATTCCACATGAACCTCTTGCATGTGCCAATCTGCCCCGTAGTCTTACTGATTCCTGTATAAACTACAGCAGCCTTGAAGACACAGATCACATAGATGGCACCAACAACTTTGTCCACAAAAATGGAATGCTGGATCTAGCTGTAAGTAAACAGAGTATTTAAAGTTTATTAATATCAGTAGAACATACAAAGGGAAACTATAATGCTTTCAGGTCAAATTATTTTGTTTTAACATTTTGAAATTGTCTGGCTTTGCCATAAGCCTTTATAGACTTGTATGGGGCCATCCTCATAGAAACTAGAGCTGCTTCCTGGGACAGCCCCAAACAAATCTATGAGGGCTCAGTGCACTGACACAGCTGGCATCACAGAGGATTTCTGCCTGAGTAGACATCAAGTTTGCACAGAGCACGGCTCCAGCACTCGGGTAAGGTGAGGTGGGAGTGTTAGTGCAGATTAGTTTAGGAGGGAAGGGTTAGAGGAGATTAGTATTAAAGTATGATAAGAGGTCAGCAGGAATGGGAAAGGAGGAAGATATGCCACTCATCTTCTTTTCTTCATAGCAGGCTATGACCATCTTAGTATGCATCATTTAGAGTAAGCAAGCACTTTACGGAGATGCTGGCTCAGAGATGATACAGTCATCCTAATACTAGCACTCAATTCCAAACCTACACAATAGTCCCTGGTACCCAACCTGCATTGTCGCATGCAGTCCATTGGTACTTATTGTGCAGCCCTGAGGCTCCAGCAGCCAGTTGTCAGCGTTTTCCCTTCCTAGGTGCTTACTCAGATGTAAGAGAGCAGGAATGGTATAGTTCTAATCTGTAAAGTGATCTCTAGCTATCTAATGTAACATGTCCCCAGACTAAGAATTCTGCAACATATCCCTAGTCACCATTCATTCCTGCATTAGTATGTCAGTAGTCTCTGACTATCTCTTGTGGTTTCTCCACAGGCTCCGACATTCTTCTGTAGCATTACATATAATGAACATTATGTGGGTCCCTATGAGGATGTTAGAAGCCTATGGGGTCTATTCACCAAGCTGCCGAGGGCAGCCGAGTGAATGACCGATCTGAAGTGAAGTGAGCCGAACACTGTTCGGCTATTCACTTCAGGCTGGTACGGCTGATTTCAGCCGTACATCGGCTGAAATCATCCGTACATCGGCTTGCTTCGAGTGGCTTCGGGTCGGCCGAACAATGCTTGGCCATGATCAGGAGCTGTACGGGCTATTGTGAATAGCCCGTACAGCACCCCTTCGGTTCGACTGAAGCACCCCTTCGGCCGAAGCTAGCCGAAGGATCGGCCGAAGCTACGGCCAGATCCTTCGGCAGCTTCGTGAATAGACCCCTATGTTTTTAGTATGTTGACCACCACTGTTTTTTTGTTCTTGACTGCGTGCATATATGGTGGCTGCCTTTCACCTTATGAGCTGCAAGAAAGTACATTCTTATAACAGTCCTCCAGAAGTGGACTTACATCAATAAAATATCCCAAATCTTGAGGGACTGTACTTAAGCACAGACACTTTACTACAGTTCAGGGACTGATTTTAAAGGAAAAGGTCCATAACATATGATACGTTTGTTTTATGATATTGATCAAGAAATTATTGATGCCTATCTTCTGCAGTTTCCTTTACTGTATTAAGTCATGCAATAACATCTGAAGCCGACTGGGAATCACCCATATATTTACTTTCCACCGTAGGTTGTTCTTAAAGCAGTGTACCTTGTTTTGAACCATGATATCAGCTCTCGTATCTGTGATGTAGCCCTAAATATTGTAGACTGCCTGCTGCAACTTGGGGTAGTGCCATGTGTGGAGAAAAAGAGGAAGAAGAGTGAAAACAAGGAAAATGATTCAAGTACTGGGTCAGGATCTACATCGCTTGCTGCAGAAAAGAGACAAAGTGATGGAAACTTCCAGATGAAAGCAGCAGCCCGTGGATCTACCTGTGGTTTTGGGGGCCCATCAACTGGTGGTGGGGGAGCAGGTAGTGGAGCAGGAGGAGGTGGTGGTGGTGGAGGAGGAGGTGGCGGGGATGATGGAAGTGGTGAAGATCGATATTTTGAAAAGAATGAGAAAAGCGATGAAAAGGTAATTATCAAACACAACAACGTGTATGTGTGGAAACAAAATTGTCATACATTTTTGCTTTACAAGACTTGTTTTATTATACTTTTACATTGCAACATTTTTAGCTATTTCTATTGCATAGCCTTACATTTCTGTTCTGTAGAAACTGAAATAGGCTATTCCAGGGCATTTGCAGAAATCGTTTAAAATGAGTGTCATGTGGGAAGTTCTGCCTTTACTAGTAAATAGTCATTCACTGTGTGATAATTGAAAATATTTCTACCCTGCATTCCTTTATGTATATAGCTCTCTGTGTATATATTGTGCAAAAACAGGCTGCCTGTTATTTGACTTTTGTCTGTGCGAAAGTCTGGAAGAAACAGTGAGCCAGTGACAGCAGCACTTAGGTGGAGGTTCCTGTCTCAGCACGACTTTAGGCTGAAGTTTGTTGCCATGGTTGCAAATTGTGATGGGCAAATGTGCCTGGGTTTAATTTGCAGGCAATTTTTTCCACTCGTAAATTCTGGAAATTGCAAGCTTTAATCTGAACCCCAGTTAAGTCAAAGCTGGGGTGAATATTGAAAATCAATTCTGGCCATTTTCAAGGCTAATAAGCCAGGGACTGCCAAACAGAGGGCATGGGGTGCTGGGCATTGTAGATACCACTGCAAAAACAGTTTTAAGAGCTAATGTTCAGCGGGGGTGGGGGTGTTCCTCTATTTATGCAACTTCAAGGACGACACTGAAAAACCATCAATCCTTCAGACTACATACTTCGGGGATCATTTAACTACTTGAAGATCCCCTTCCTGTTCAGGCAATTTTTCAGTATTCAGCATTGCAGTACTTTGACTGACATTGATTAACTCCTGCAACGCTGTATTACATTTTTTTTTTACTATATAACGAACAAAGTACAGAAAAAAACCCCAACTGTTTTCACTTTATTATGTTATAAAACATTTATTATTACCAAATTTTCTGGTAAAATATAAAAGATGGGGTCACGTTGGTTAAATAGACACCAAACACATCAAGCCTTAAAATTGCACACGCCTTCAAAATCGCAAAAAACTACAATACCCAAAATTGGCCATGGGCGACTCTTTAAAAGATTTCACCGCTCATAATTAAGTGTTAACAGTGATTGATGGCCCTAAAATTATTGCTCACACTCTGACGTTCGCGATGATATGTAACATGTGCGGTGTAATGGGTTCAATCGTCGTTTTCACACGTACGCGCACCCGACGCATGTTTGCGATGGAGGAAAAAAATTTATTTACTGGACCCATGTTGGGGAGTTGGATGTAAGCAGATATATGTCTGTTTACGTTAGATTATCCCTGATAAACCACAAATCAGGTCCGCCAAAATTGAACTCTGTTCCATTTGGTTTTCCAGACCTGGCCGGAGTCGGGGGTAATTGTATGTAAATGGATGCACCTCCATTTAGATTCAGCTGCCCATAGACTAACATTGGGCTTCCAGTCAGATCCCCTGAAAAACTGACATAGGACATGATCACAATGCCCGTATAGAAGGGCTCTAAATGTTTACTGCAGGATATATCAAATCATGTGTTATTCTCTGTGTTATTAGGATGAGAACGATCCAGTCACTACTCACAAGTTGGCACTCACCATGCTGATTAAACTGGTGAAATCACTGGGCTGTGCATATGGATGTGGCGAGGGACATCGAGGGTTATCTGGAGATCGCCTTAGGAACCAGGTACAGTATGGAGGAAAACGTTTCACAGCTCAAACAGCCATTATAAACATGCCATATGCATTTCTTCACTCTATATGTTATTTTGCCTTGATGCATAATATACCGGTAAGTAATGATATAATATGACAAATGATAGTTACATTTTTTTGCTATATCAGTATATTTGACCTACACCTTGAATTAAAAAGTCTAAATGCATTTTGTATTACTTTGCAGGCACAAGGCTGTCTTACCAAACTATATAAATTAGACAAAGTCCAGTTTCGGCAAACAATGAAAGACTATGTAAACAAGGACTCGTTAAATAATGTAGTGGACTTTCTTCATGCCCTTCTGGGATTTTGCATGGAGCCTGTTACCGATAGTAAGTGTTTAAATATTAAATTAGAAAGTTGCAGTATAAATCTAGTTCTCAGCGCTATAATGACTTTTATAGTTAAAGCAGACACACATTTTTATTAACCCTTGCAGTGACGCTACCCCCTGCAGCCGCTCATATTTGTCTAGGTTAAAAAAAAAAAGATGTTATACTCACCGGATCCCCAGACCCGACTGCCTCTTAGACCAGTCTCTTTCGCCTCGTTTCCCCTCCGCTGCAGCGGCCTGAGGTCCCTGTGTCATCATGTTCTACACACAGTAAGGGGAATTTATCAAAACTAGAGACAGAACCTGAAGCAGTTGTTCATGGCAACCAATCAGCTTCTATCTTTCATTTTCAAACCTTAAATGAATAAACTGAAATGGGAAGCTGATTGTTTTCCATTGGTAACTGCTCAAGTTTCTCTCTGCTCCAGGTTTCATAAATTCTCCACAATGTATAGCATGTGAGGATGCCGTACCATCGCTGCAGTGTAGAAGGGTAGTGGCAGAAGGGAGCACTGTCACAGCCGGCCATCTTGGAGGATCAGGTAAGTACTGTATAAGGGTTTTTTTTGCATTCTAGATACAAGCGAGCACTTAACACTTGTAGTGTGGGGTAGCCCTACTGCAAGGGTTAATAAAATTTATGTTCGAAGTTCTGCTTTAAATCTGGATATTAAAGGGGTTCTAAAGCCTCCCGTTCGTTTGCCTATATCTACTGCTGACAAGCAGTAGATATAGGCAAAAAGTAAAAAAAAAAAAAAAACAACCCGCCTAAACAGGGGTTTAGACTGACCTCATTATCGCTGCGTGCTCCCGCGGCGAGAGTCCGGAACTGTTCGTGCGGCCGCAAAGGATCTTGGGGCGGACGCAATGCGCAGTTCGGATTCTCGGCTGGGAGACAAGCAGAGACGAAAGGTAAGTCTATGGACACGTGCACCCGCCTGCAGACACCGCTGGATCGGAAGTGCCTGTAAGCAGAGAGGAGTCAGCGCTGGATCGGAGAGCCGCCGCACCGCTGGAGGGACAGATGAAAACATGGGGAAAGAAGATTGGATTAAGAGACATCATTTAAGGTAAGTGCTGACATTAACATGGGGGGTGAGGGAAAGAAAATGTATCCTTTAATGTCACTTTAAGATTTAGAGAGGCAACAGTAACCAGTAAGATTACTTAGATAACGCAGGTGATGTAACATTTATACATCTATTCTTTGTGACCATGTGGAAAATCCTCCTTAAAACACAACTCCAGTCCAAAATGTTCAAGTATTTTAAAATAGATTTAGAAAGGTTCAGACTAATTTATAATGTGCTAACATTTCACAATAAAATATAAAAGGCCTATTTAAAGCAATAAAATGCCTACTTTTCAGGAGAACATTGTTATCGAAGCATGTGACATAGATAAAGTGACATAATATAAAATGCCCAGCAGCAATAAGAGAAGCATCTACCTATGCCCAGCGAGAAACAGAAACAATGTTTGCTGTGTATGTCAAAGGATATGACATTTTATTGTTTTAAATAGGCCTTTTATATTTCATTATGAAATGTTCAATTTCGGACCCGAATCCAAAAAACTAAATAATGCAAATTCAGAATCAAAACGAAACGAAACACATTTTTTGCTGCTGCACATGTCTAATATCCATAATTACATACAGGCCATTTTCAACATGAAAATAGAACTCTAGCCTGTTATAGTGCTTTTATCTTTTATGTCTTTATTGATAATATGTAAAGAAAAATTAAAATGTCTTTGTGTTTTCTCAGACAGAGCTGGGTTTGGGAATAATTTTGCCACAATGGACAACAAGTCAACAGGTCAGGGTGTGGAGGGGATCATTGTGAGTTCAATGTTTAAGTCTCTAATCACACGCTGTGCTTCTACAACTCATGAACTGCACAGTGCTGAGAACCTGGTAAGATCATGGATTAGCAGTAAGATTAGAATGACTGTTTTATTTTTAGAGTAACGATGATAAGAGCTAAGGAGGAGTATGGAAAAGGACAAAAAAAGTTTTGTTACTGTCTGACAATGATACTTATCTTGATGGATGTGTTTAAGTGAACCGGTGCCCAGACTATGCACACTAAAGTTTCTACATATTCAGAACAAGCAGTAAAATTACTTTAAAACATGTCCCCAGTCACCTCTGTAGCTATAGGTATTGTGGAAAAATGAATCTTTAAAGTTCACAACAGGGGCACAGAAATCTTAGGCCTTCATCACACTGGCAGCGTCAAGCTGTGTTTATATGTGATTAGAGGACATTTCTAATGCATTTAAGGATTTTTTAAAGGTATCGTTCAGGGCTTGTTCATGCCAGCAGCTGCGTTCAACCACACAGCTGCTTAAGTTCATGTGCCCAGACAGTACCGATGCGCTCAATCAAGCCGCATCACAGTGTTTTGGGGGGGGGGGGGGGGTTCTGTCACATGTACTGTTTATCTTTCCCAGATAACTTCTTCTGCTTTTAGTGAATCGAATGGCAAACGTGCCACTATGAATGTAGCCTTTTTTCCTATCCCGTTCTATTGCAGTAGAATCTTGGTAGACTGCCAGCCCTGTAATGTATATATACAGGAGGTGTTTTTAAAGCCAGGGCTGGACAATTCCCTGTCGTCAGGTTGTTGTGGTCAGTGAAAAAAAGAAGCTCTCTGGAAACTATAGGGGCAGAATGTTTGACTAGCGTTTGGGGAATAGCTGCAATGGGCTGGTAAGCATTTGCCACTTATCACAGATAGCAGCGGCAGCGACTCCACAAGCAGAGCAGGCAGGATAAAAGAAAGAGTTCCCCCTTTTCACTGCTTCCCCTGTAAGTCTGCAGGGATCCATTGCCTGAGCAGGAAAAATTAAGTCGGCAAACCTGTGGCAGAAGCTGATTAAAGTGCAGTGAGCCAGGAGAGGTAGGGAATGGGCATGTAGCCTCCTATGTGGGAGACCCTACCAGGAAATATGGGCCGAGGAAGATCAGATCTATTAACCCATTCCTTGCCGCAGAGGAACAACCATGCAGCCAGTCTTCAGAACAGTTACAAGCGGGTTTCGGTCACTCACCTATATATGGGAAAAGGAGAGAGAAAAGAGTAGAAACTGTGATATGGGGAATGCAGGGATGAGAAGCAGAGGCGATGTGACAGGAGTTCAGAAGCTGGAACTGACGAGGGGAATTCCAATGTTTCTATAGCCAACAAATGCATATGATCACTGCATGTCACACTCATAGGTATCCATTGCTTATCTAGAAACCCTAATAGAAGGACATTTAGTTTGCTAAGGTACAATGCATCATAGGCAGTTGCCATGGTATATTTTATCCTTTCCAAAAATGTATTTGGATTTGAATAAGAATACAAGAACAGGCTAATGTCAGTATACAAAGTGAATAATATCAGAGATTAGGTCACATCAGTAACTACAATACAAACAGATGAGGAAATAAAGGGAACTAGAGGAGGAACAGGAATAGGTTTGTAAATGTGATTAAAGGGACTCATTAAGGTGCCAGGTAAAACTAGTGGGTTGGCCAGGAAGGGCAGATCATTCAACCAGGGTAGGGGAGTGGTCAGGCCAAGGCATAGAGAGAATTTCAGCCTTTACAAAGGAGGGAAGAGATCGTTGGGAGACAAAAAGTGGTAAATTCTCCAGAAAACGTTATGAGGGTGAGAATAATATATATTGTATAATCTTTAGACAAACAGATATAGGACAGATTGCAAGTGTGCACAATGTCAGTCTTTGTTGTTATGCCACTTCATCTGTCTTTTATGCCTTTTATGTCTTTTTTTTGACAGGGTTTGTATTGTGATATTCGACAACTAGTTCAATTTATCAAAGAAGCTCATGGCAATGTGTTTCGCCGCGTGGCCCTCAGCGCCTTGCTGGATAGTGCCGAGAAGCTAACACCAGGGAGGAAATCTGTTGATTCACAAGAACCAAGACCTTCAGGAAGCAAAAGGTTTTCCTTTTAAACATACAAGCTTTGCCACCGGCTCTTTGTATACATGCTGGGCTCTGCTGCTGGATGTGTGGCCGCTTCAAGCTCTTGACTCGCATTTTCTTTCTTTTAAGCTTACTTTTGGCTTGTATATTTTGGTTTTAATATTGTAACATATCTACAGCTCTTGTGTGTAGTAGGACCTATGTACAATGTGGCAGTAAATGAATGTGACTTTTGTGCTGCCATTGGCTTACACTAAAATCATTGAAGTACCTACATGTTATACATTGACTATAATACATATTATACTACCGTCCTTTTTTTTCAACTATAGTGTGCATGTTTGTACATAGGCCCTGCTCTTTATGCTGCTAAGGCTAACTTTCCATCTCCTAGATTACTCTTTCCAATGCTATTATCACTAACACTAGTATATCAAGAAGCTACTGGTTAATCAAGAAAAATAGAAAAAGGCTAATAATTTTATTGAACGAAGGGCGCATACGCACCACCAGCGTTGGACTGCATTAGACAAATACAATGGTCATATGTCCTATGGTTTCAGTTTGGATCAACGCACTAAAACAAAATAAGACATGTAACATTTTTGCACAATGCAGAGCATTCTGACATGCTCCAGCATGCCGCAATGTGCAGCAGCACAGGGTAAAAGCATTGAAAATGCACTTCAATGCATGATAAAACAAAATGCAGCCCAGCCCAATGCAGAGTGGTGCATCATAATGCAAGGCAAAGACACATACAAGCTTGCCAATGCATGCCCAATGGTGTAAAAAAGGCCTGAAATTTGGTCTTTAATTCCCGGTTACTAACATTCATTAGGGGAAAACAGAAAACAATGCACCCAGTACACAAAATAAGATAATGTTGGCTTCGGTCTTGGCTGATGTCACACAGCAAAGATGATGACTGAAGGAAGACAGCTCATATATGATGATGCAAATAACAGGAAAAGCTCACAAATTTTTATTAAGTGCTGAGGAGTAACTTGCAAGATCTTCATGCTCTGTCAGTTTTCTTTGCTAGATAAATAGTGGTGAAGGTCAGTATATCGCAGAAACACACTGAAATGTTCAAATTGATAAACCCATTTACTTTGCATGGCTTGTACTTGCTCCCCTCCTAAGCAATACACCACAAATCCTCCCTAATTTAAAAATAGATTTAAGCAGGGATTTAAAAAGGAGAAATAAGTGAATATTCACTTCAAATATATATGTATATATATATATATATATATACACACATACAAAATATGGGAATGTCCCCATGATCCTGAATATATGCTTAAAACAAGCACAAGTCAGGCTCCAGGATTTTCTTGGATTTTTCAAAGAAATATATTAAATCAGCCAACAACAGCAATATGTTTCTGCATCTCTTTATGGCTAATAGAATACATTTCCTATGGGCCAATAATGTATATCAGCAATAGTAATTGCAGTGTACTCATAACTCAAATTCAAAACATCATTTTAGAGTCCCCAAGCAAATTCACCTTTAAACAGTATTGAAATGTGGGAGATAGATGAAAGTAGCCACTCGCACTCCATGATATTAAAGTCAATGCGGTTTATTGACTGAGATACGGAGGAGTATGGAAAAGGACAAAAAAAGTTGTGTTACTGCCTGACAATGGTACTTATCTTGATGGATGAGTTTAAGTGAACCTGTGCCCAGACTATGCACACAAAAGTTTCTACATATTCAGAACAAGCAGTAAAATCAGTCAATAAACAGCATTGACTTTAATATCATGGAGTGCGGGTGACTACTTTCATCTATCTACATTTCACGGAGGCATCCGTTGTCACCACAGCACCCACCAATTTGGATTTGGGTTTTTGTCCGGTCAGGAGTGCGATGGGACAGGAAAATTAAGTTTGAAATGGGGGAGGGCACAGGCAAGAAAATAAAGGCCGAAGCATCAGCATTGATAGAAGGTTGCATCATTGCCAGTGAACTTAGCCCACTTTTGAGCATCTGTGCATATTAAACAATTTGGAAAGGCATGCCAAGTGCTCTGTTTTGACACCCTTGTGTATAGAGTTTAGGAAGCCCAGCTATATATGAGATTAAGTGCATAGGGAAGAACATACAGTATGTGAAAGAATCACTCTTGTCTGTGAAATATTTTTCCAGGCAGTAATTACATATGTCAGATATAAATAATGTATACATTGGTCATGGACACTACTGCAGAATGCTCTGTAAGAAGTGTGAATAGCTCAGTGTTGATAACGTTTGTGTCTGTAGCAGGATTACCTTAGAGATAAAGGTTGATGGGTTAGAATAGATGACTTATAGATTTTGCTGAATCCCAGTTATTTACAACGATTTCTCAGCAGCAGCCTTAAAGTTTATGCTTTTGGAGCCTGCAGTGAAGACTGTAGGACTGTGCCATGTTTCCATATGCCCCATTCACTATTTACTCTTGGACACCTCCTTCTAACTAGCTCTTAAGTAATTAATGGACTATATAGTTTTGGTTATTCTGGGAGATAAGTTGTTATGTTTTTCCAAGTGGGCCTTCAGACCAGGACCAGGACCTTCTGTGACCCATGAACCATGATCCAGCTATAGCGAGTAACATGTACTTCCATCTTTACTTAGAAAATCATGGAACACCTGCTGAAATCTGTGCCGGTCAGTTTTTGGCTCAGGGTGAAGATCTGTTTTGGGAGAAAGCCATGTTATTTCATTGTACTGAGCTTAAAGTTGATACAGTTCTCAATATCTCAGTGTTGAACTTTTGCTTCCATGCTGTTTCATTCCATTGCTTGCTGCTGCTCTTCACAATTGCATTTAGCAGAGGACTTGCAATATGAGATAACTGTTTATTTAGAAGCTTTGTTGCCCATAATACCTAAAGCTTGTTTTGTAGTTTTTATTGGTGACCCATTTATACTAGTCAGCACAAAGGGACTGGGCCATTGGTTGACTTTTCTTTCCTCTGGTTGGCCCTATTGCACCCTTAGACCAGAAGAAGGGAGCGCTCCTGAAAAGGGTCGGGTGTCCTATGCGCCCGAGGAGTGCCGAAGTTACATCTCTAGCCACCCCCCACAGACTCCAGAGCAGTAAGTAAGGCAATTATTCCAAAGACCTAATTGTGTCTTCACTGTGTCCTCTGATATCAACCTACGTACTACAGAGAGGTTCCAATGTGAATGGGTGAACTCATGGCTGTATTATTGCATCAGTTTTGATATTAGTGTTCCATGATATATAGCTTTTTAAATCACAGTAAATTTTATTTTAATATTGTATAGAATATATTATTGTCGTAAATAATATAGTTCAAAGCCAACTTTAAACACAACTATTCTGTAAGTTCTACATCATACAAATTGGGCTGTCTTGGTCACCCAACCATTGAGCATGATTCTTTTTTTTGCTTCACTTCCCCCCATTTCCACATCCCCACCACCATGAGAAAACACACCTTACCACTCCTAAATAGACCCTTCTGCTTATTGAAACTTGTCTTTGTTGTTTTCAATACACTTAGCAAGATGTGTCACTTTGTACAAACTTCTTAAAGATAAAATGTTTTGCCTCATTATGTTTTCTGAACTCCACTTGAAATATGATGGCTGAAAGGGAGCACTTAAAATCTGATAGGTTTCTATGTAGCAAACCCACCATTTTTTTCATTAATTAAGGCAGCTATAGTTTTGACTCTGTACTGTGAATGCTTAAAACTGCACGTGTTATCATGGACAGAGACAAGTCCACATGGGTAGAGTTGTGAAACAATCAGTAGCAAGATAAGAAGCTTTGCAGGAGAAGGAGGAATTGAAGAGAAGCTCCAGCAAAATTTGCTATGCATCACCGTGACCAGGATTCTGGAAGAGCTGTTGTTGAAGAGTTTAAGAAGATTTAGCACCCCCATAAGACCTTTCAGCTACATAAATGTTATGTGTCCACACTGTGAGACATGCGTTGCACAAACTGTCACATAAACATCTACACCATGCAGGCGCTCATAACAACTCCATGAAAAATCAATGTCTCCCCAGTCCGAAGGTAGGACCTTATCCCCCCAAACTACTTGTGTCCAGGGGTGAGCAGCCACAGCTATCTGCATCATCTGTGTCTAACTGCAGCTAATCGCTCCATGTTCAATTGCATCTGAATATGGACAGACAGCTGCGGCTGCTGTCAGCCTGTCATTGCTTTGTACAGGCTGAGTGGCTGCAGCTGTCTGGGGCCACTTTAAATTCCTGCTGCAGCATTCCACAGATTCTTGCTATAAGATTTCCCCCTGGACATAAAAGCCTTGTGTGAATGAGACCTTACACTTGAAGGCATTTATTATCTCTCACAGTGAATGCCAAACTCTGATAATTAAGGTTATCTGATGGTTGGTACCATATTTATTCAGGTGTCATCCAGGGTCAGCATCTACTTTCTTGACCAAGACTCTAATCTACAGGTGATTTGATCATTTTCAATTTACTAGAGGGGTCAGGGTAATTTTGGTTTGTTTGATTTGTTTTATTGCTGTCTGTGCAGAATTTCTTTATTATATAAATATATATATATGTGATAAAATAATACAGAGGCTGCCATTGCTGACTTCTCTTTCTGACAATGCTATTTGCCTAGCTATCATAATGACCCACTGTCCTGCATACATTGATCTGGAACAAGTATGCAGATAAGGACTTCTGAATTGTGTTTTGCTATCCTGAGCTGCATGTAGTACTTGTGGGTCAGAGACATAAAAAAGTATTAAAGCCAGTGCATTAGGCTAGTAGCCAAGCAACAAGCATTGTCAAAAAGATTATCCCGTGCAGTCCGGGTTTTGAATGCGGTGTCCGGGTTTCATGGCAGTTGAAACTCGGACACAAGATGTTAGGCAGACAGGAGTCCTGCTGTTCCTGCATGTATGTAGCTGCCCACAGTACTAGTTGCGGACTTCCCACCCGTGCGGCCACACCGGGGACCGAGGTTAGTAGATATTTAAACTTTTTCCCTGCAGTCCCTCATTGACAAAAATTTTGGACTCTGCAGTGCCACTTGGTGTTGTAAAACAGTTGCGGTGAGGAAAGGGTTGTGACATATATGCCCGTATTTTGTTTGTGACACTACTGCAGAGGTATGAAATGGGACAAGTTTCTCTCCAGATCTGAAGATTTTAGCCGAAACAGGCTAAAATTAAGGCAGCAGGACGACCCTGCTCCCCCAGTGCTGCAGAGAGATTTGCTTCCCCCTTTAAGTAGCTGTGGCACATTGGGTGACATGCTGGAGGTGCACATTTGCATGTCTCACCATGCAATAAATGCTGTGAGGTGTGTTCTGCTGACATTCAGTGAATTCAGTGCTGTCCCAGCTGCTTCATTGAATGTCCGGCCAAACTGTTTTATAACTGATAAGATTATCCGAATGCAATTTTTTCCTACTACATTTTAATTGTAAAATCTTTTAATCTTTTATGCAACACTTGGCATTATAGTGTAACGCCAACCAAACATTAGTGGAACTAAAGTCCTGCAACAAAAAAACTCTAGGTGTTAGGGACCAATCACACAATGCATTGCGGCAATGCATGCATTACATACTACACGGCAATGCATGTTAAGTGCATTGGTACAATGCAGTACCTTGCATTCTGCTTGCACACGGGCATCCCAATAATGAGGCGGCCTGCCTGGCTGACAGCTTGGATGCCCGCCCCTTCCGCCCTGCTGACAGCTCGGCCCCCTTTCCCTAGCCACCTCAAGTGGCGAATAAGGTGGGGACAACCCTGTGCATGCATTAATATTTTATATTCGGGGGTTCATTTATAAAAGTTTTGCCCAGTGTATAGCTGGGTGGATGCCATCTGCACGCTGCTACCGTAGTGCCTCTAGATGGCGCTGATGAGTAAAAATGTCCCTTCATTGTCAGGGCATCCACCCAGCGATCTCGGCCCTCCAGCTGTTGTCCAAAAACAATTGCCGCCTGGCGGTCGAGTGTTCAGGTTTCGCTTGAAGAAAGGTTGGCAATCCTAAATAGATAGTTCCTACTTTTAGGTCTGTACGACACGTGTTATTGTGTTGTTATATTACTTCAGAAAACTTTATTTACTGTATGTATAGCCACCACATTGCTTTTAAGTTTTATATAAAAAAAGGAAGTTAAATACTAATTTTTATTTGTTGATGTCTGTGTGCCATTGAAAAGATTTCCCTTGACTTCCTGTCTTTGTAATAGACAGACTTATGATCATCAGTTTCTTATACTATGGAAGAATGATATAAGAATAAAAGCAATTTTAAAATAAACATTTGCAGTAATTGTACATTCTCCCGCTTCCTTTTGTTTTTTCGCAGTAATGCCGAGAATTTAAATGTTCACCCCGATCTGTCTCGCAGTGATGAACAAATGCAGGGGGCAGGGCTGGGCCGAAAGGATTTTTGGCGCAAGATGTTCAAATCACAGAGCGCAGCCAGTGACACCAGCAGCCAGTCAGAACCAGACACTTCGGAGTGCACTACAGCTCATTCTGGAAATACCAATGAGAGACGCTCAAGGTCCAGGTCTCGCAGGATATCCCTCCGCAAAAAGCTGAGGTTGCCTCTAGGTTAGTTCTCTTTGATAATATTTAAGTTATAAACATAAGTGGACTTATTCAACCAGGCAAAGAATGACTTACCTTTTCTGACTGATTACCTGCAGCTCCTCCATTCACAGGAATCTTGCATCCCATGCTGGTCGGCCCTCATGCATGTACCTTAGGCCTTCTCCTGGCTCCTTAATGGCCACAGTCTCCTAAATTTAGGCAGTATGCTATGTGGCTCAGCCTTGTGGCATCCGGTTGGTAGCTAACGCACTGTGCCTACTCCTCCCTTCAGCCTTGATTGGTCCTTCCTTCCCAAGTTGTCTGATTTAAACCTCACTGACCCTGCACCGACACATGTTATATGTTTTAATACATGTCTGACTAGCTGCCATTTCCCGTGTCTGATATTCTTTGTACCGACTCTTTGCCTGTTTTCTAACCACATTTCTGTCTGGACCAAGCCTTTGCCTGTTTACTGACCACTTCTCTGCCTGGGGCCTGGACTGACCCTAGGCCTGTTTATGGACTATGTCTTTGCCTGACACACTGGACCACCCATTTGCTCGTTTTCTGACCTTATTGCTGTCCAGTGCCTGCGCCAACCCTGTGATTGCCATAAGGGAAAGGGGGATGCTATAGGTAAATCTACACTTGCCAGCTATTTTCTCTGATCATTCATACTGGCACAAGCATTTAAAAGCAATTTGGTTGTCTGCCATAAGTTACTGCAATTTGTGCATCTTAATTTTTCCTATTTATCATTTATCCTAAGTCTTTGCATTGTTTACTAAAACATATTATACACTGTGCACTAAACAAGATCAAATGTAGATATCTTGGACCTAAAAAAACGTCATATATACCATAATGTATTAATATTATTTTCACATGTCTGCATATTTAGGCAACTGGTTAAAGCGCTCCTCACTTTCTGGGCTGACTGACAATGTTGAAGATCTTCTGGACATAAGCTCTGTAGATCGGCTTTCATTTATCAGACAGAGCTCTAAGGTGCACTTTCATATTTCCTTAAGCCATAATGATTCATTAGTTAAAATATGCACGAAGCTTAATGCGGAATAACTGTGCTATAAACTGTAACACCTCAGAATTAAAGATTACTCCATCTTTAAATGTTAAAGCTTCTCATTTGGTAGCATGGTGGGAATGATTAATTGCACAATAAGCAAACTGAACCATTATATAAGCTATATTCTTAATTAAGTTGCTAGCTATACCACCTAGCTGACAATCCATTCTGGTGCACACGGGGATCTGCACTGAATTGCTATCTGGCTGGATTTAACTAACATGGCTACTCCCACTCATTGAGGGCTGATCCCCAATCAGGTTTAGCATTTCTCTCAGTGTGTGTAATTTCCTGATGATACTGAATCAAGTGGCATTTAGTTCACAAAATATAATTATTCCTTGCCACAACAGTTCTACCTTTTGTTCTTGAGAAATAACACAACCCTGTCCTAAGTGATTTGATTGGGTTTCAGAATGACAAGTTAAATGTCATTAACTAACAGGGTTATTAACAAAAGGGTGAAGAGTTTGGGGAAGGCAGGAGAAGTGAACAATCTAGGACAAAATAGCTGATTTGGAAAAATCCCCCAATTCAGCTCACTTTCCAGTTCAGCTATGTTGTCCTAGATTGTTCACTTCTCCTGCCTTCTCCAAACTCTTCACCCTTTTGTGAATAACCCTGTAAGTCTCTGTATAACTTTGTAAAGGCCAGCTTACTCAAAACCAATATTAGGATCAATCCTACTGCGTGGCATAATTAACCTGTTGCCATCCGCCCGTTGCAAAAAAACGGACGGACGGCGGACTCGCATTTGCGTATCGCCGTCTCCAGACGGCATTTTTTTTCTGCTCGCCCGTTCAATGCAAAGTGTCGTTACCGGCTGTTTCACATACACACGATCGGCGGCTCTATAGCCTAAATAAAGGTCACATAACAAACAAAAAAAACCCCTAAATGTTTAAGTCCCCCACCCCCACATTTACGCACATATAAACGTAAATACGCGTTCACGGCGCCAGCATGCGAAAATGACAATTGCGGTACACATGTTACATATCGTCGCAAACGCTGGATTGAGAGCAATCATTTTAGGGCCATCAATCACTGATAACACTAAACTGATGAGCGGTGAAAGCTTTTAACGTGTCGCCTATGGCCAATTTTGGGTATTGTAGTTTTTTGAGGTTTCCTATGCGCAATATTAAGGTTTTACAAGTTTGGTGTCTTTTTAGCCGACGTGAACCCGTCTTTTATATTTTACCAAAAAATTGGTTAATAATAAATGTTTCATCATTTAATAAAGGGGAAACAGTTTCTTTTTTTAAAAAATCGGTACTTTTCCCTTAATATAGTAAAAAATAAAACCCCCAGTGGTGATTAAATACCACCAAAAGAAAGCTCTGTCTGTCCACAAAAAATGGTATCAAATTTATTTCAGTCCAGCGCTGCGTGACGGAATAAACGTCAATCAAAGTACTGCAGTGCTGAACACTGTAAAATGGCCTGGATGGGAAGGGGGTTTAACACTGTGGACTTGAAGTGGTTAACTGGCTTCTTATACTGTGTGTCTCAATGACTCCTGCAGCGAGACTTTAATTACAGTTCTAGGTTGATCTACTTTTATCTATCAAATACAACTGTTGACACTTTTGTATTCCCTAGTTTTTATAGTGATCATTTCCTAATTCAGTATTTATTATTTAAACATAGATAATTGGTGACTTGTGAAAATCAGAGATAATTAGAGAATAATGAATTGCAACTAAAAGCAGCAAAATGTTATTGAACCTGTAGGTTAAAATCAATTAACACTGTGGTAAAAGGTTTTAATGTATAAAAAAAAAACCTCTCTCCTATGAAACAGAAGCCTCAGAATACATAGAAGTTGTATCTGAACGATCAATGCGTTTGTTGTAAGTTTTTTGGGGGTTTTTTTGGAGAGGGAAATGGCATGACCCATTTTCTTTTTATCACCAATTAACCACTAGCTGAACCTGTCTGCTCCTTCTCATTTGCATAGAATGCCACTGGCATTAGGAAGAGCTTGCCAGCAAAGGAGATGGAGGAGATAGACAAAAAGGTAATTAACTTTAAAAGGAGCAAATATCTAGCATGGCATGTAAGCATATATAACATATACACAACTCCTCCTTTTACCATTTACTGTTGAGAGAGAAGATTGTGGAATGGTACTGGTAATTGTTCTACAGCTCTACTGAGAATTGACTCTATTCTCCGTAACAGCCAACCTGCCATGCTTCATGAGATGCAAGGACACTTGCAGCAATGCTCAGTTGTTCACAAAATGTATGTTGCAAGGCAAGTTGACTTTTTAGTAAAAAGTTGTAGATCATTTCACGGGGAGCAAAGTCAATTCTTGGTCATCCAACAGATAAATGAAATATTGTGTAGTGTAGTCTTTGTGTGCAAAAGTGCAGTGGTCTTGCCGTACAGCTTCTAAGGCTTCCTATATGTTTGTTTGTGTTTTTACATATGCCAAACATAAATGTTATTCTGATTAAAATACTAAAGATAATTAGTAGACCTTAGTCAAATTCTTCTGGACTTGTTCTGTAATATTGAATGTTTCAATATTACAGAACAAGTGAGTTGACTGTGACTAACTACTACTAGTCATACCATGACCTGGATAAATGAAAACGTTCTCAGGCTCTAAAGTTTTATTTACGGTGATGTACTTGCTGCTTTTTAGCGTGTGTTTATTGTCCATGTGTGCCTGTGTTTTTTAGGAGCTTCAGTATGTATTTTAGTGATTTTATATATTGTGCATTAAATAAAAATTTTTTATAGCTGAACTCCAGGCAGATATTAATTTTAATCTTACATAGAAGTAGCATAAGTACCTAAATCTAACCCGATACTTTCAATCCCCTTCACAACAACACTGGGACTGAAAGAGGGAAGTGCAGCAATCTGAGCCAATCAGGGCTCAGATGCTTATAATGTACATGCTTATAGGAGACGACATGGACAGGGTTGACCTCATCATTGTTCTTCAGTTCCTTCATTGTCCACGTAGTAGGGTGGTATCGGTTGTGGACAGGGTTCTATTGCATAAATGCAGGGTAGGCATGGTTGTACTACCAGCCGGGGTGCCTGAATCACAAAATTGGCTAAACTGAGTTACAAATCATTTGGCAGGTAGAACAGTAAACCTGTATGTATTTTAACTATGTATTTACATGTTTGCCTGGAGTTCTGCATAAAACAATTTTAAAAAAGTGTATAAATGTCCATGAATTTTACTAGAAAAAATATGTGCATTTACCAACTTCTGGGAAGGAAAATTATCTAGTAAGCGCCTGAAAGAATGTTCTATTAAAGTAAACCTGTTCTTTTTACTTACTGGGCTAAGTGACAGGTTCACTTTACCTCATGGGGTATACTGTACATGTAGTTACCTTCCACTTACATCCTGTCACTGTATTCCGTCGACAGTCCTCCCAGGATATATCCAGTACTTCCAGGTATAGGGGCACATATGACACTCCCCAGGCTCTACACATTACAGCGCCAGTCTCCGGGCACATTCCCTCTTCTATCATATGGGGGCAGAGGGAATGTGCACAGCCCCTGGTTAATTTTTACATAATTTTGCTCAGCAAAAATCAAGTTTTACACTGGAATCTAGGGCAGGTCAGCAGCAGATCAGAGCAGCCGGAAGGGAACAGCAGGTAAGTACATGTACAATGCGCTTAACAAAGTAGATATTTTCCCCACATACTAGTCAATCAAGGTGTGTTTTAGTGCAGAAAGAGAAAAAAAAAAGTATCTTATTGGTTAGAATGCCACACACCTAGACCTACTGTTTATTTAGATTTCTTAAAGATGAACTCCTAACAGGTAAATACACAGATGAAATACATACAGCATATGGGCAATGTTTTACCTGCCAAAGAATTTGTATTTCTGTCTATACAGTCCTGTGATGTACACAACTCTGCCACAGAGCACAGACCTGATTTTTCTGCAGTTGCAAATATGTAACACTTACAGGTTTGCCTCTCCTCAGCCTGTGACTGGACAGTGAAAGAAGAAGCAGCAGACTGATGAGCTAATTTCTCTTTCACTCTGCTCTCTTCTGAATATGAACATATGAACATGTCCTAGTTTAACGCATGAGCACTACAGCACAACTGATTGGCTGCTTGTGCTGTTCCTTCGTATGTCAATCTGAACTCTGCTGTATTGTGAATTGCAAGAGGCTGATATTCCTTCAAATTCTGGTACTTGCACCGCATACATTTAATGATGCATTATTAAATATGGAGCTGCATTGTTTGTTTAGCTGCATTTATACCCGTCTGGAGTTCAGCTTTAATATGAAATGTTCAGGCCACAGTTACAGAAGGTTGTATATATTTATTTTTCATGTATAGGCTTTAGTATATTACACACAGCTGCCCAACCTCATGGGCCTAACACCAATTCAAATTTCAGCCAATTCTTGATGAACTGGCTGAAATTCGTTGCATGTGTGTGGCTCTCGGCACCCTTCCGCCCAATTCTCAGCCAAATGGGTGTTCTGACTGCGGCGAGCAGCAATACAAAGGAGACAGCAGGGGATTCGCCCATCAACATTCATAAGCGTTGATTGAGGAATCAGTTCTATTTTTTTTCATTCAGCCCGCGGTCGAACGGAAAAAATAGTACTGTATATACCCAGCTTTACTCTTTTCCTAATCAGTCCTAATCAGATACGTATACTTTTGCTTCTTCTTGGTATAGGTGAAATTTACTAGTGCTGTAAAGCTATCAGAAGCCGGGCCAGGACCAGGAATGGATGGCGGGCGAGATGAAGAAGAAAATTTTTTCAAGCGTCTTGGTAAATGGCGCTCAAGCAGAAGGAATGCATCCAGGCTTCATCACACAGAAGAAAAAGATGGTTAGATATCAGGGTTCTCGTTTTTTTCTTTTCCTTGGAAATTATTTTACCTTCTTCCATTGAAATTTTTAATACTTTTGCTGCTGAGGTGACTTGCAACGGATTCACTGCAACCTCCTTCCTTAGCAAAATGTGACCCATAACAATACCGATTTCTCATAATCCTTCCACTGAATCTGCAGCAAACTTATTCAACCCACTCATCTATCCTATTTTTTGTTAATTTCTTTCCTTATTTCTTATGAAATAACACCATGTTTTCACTGAATTACAAAAACAAAATCAGTTGTGGTTCAAAATGCACATGTTACCTGAAAAAAGTGGCAATTGTCTGATCCAGGCCAACACATAGGAGTCTACTTATAAACATTAACTTTTTTGACCTGTGAATATGTGTGAATGTTCATTTTGGGCGCATAATTCCAAAAACAGATGTTCATAATATATTTTACTAGTTCGAATGTAGTGTGTAGTTGTAATAATAAATTATGGACACTAGATGGAGCTGAGGAGCACTCGAAATAAATACGTATTTTCTATGCTCCTCAGCTCCATCTAGTGTCCATAATGTTTTATGAAACAGCAAACTACATTCAACATGGGAAGATCTATCTAGTGGCCATAATGTATTATTACAACAATACGTTTGAACTGGGCAAAATAAATTAGGAACATTGATTTTTGGCATTATTCACCCAAAACTAACATTCACAGATATTTGCAGGGTAATGGGCTCCGCGATTTGTTTATAAATATACCCCTTTCCTTGTCAATTTAATAGAAACAAACAAGGCTAAGGAGGCAATGTAAATATCCCATTTGTATCAGTGATTCAGTTCCAGGACCTTTAAACACAATTCAGTACTCTCAAAATATTTGCCTAATTACTGAATAATTAGGTAGCGGTGCATTTTTTACACATGAAATTTGGACTTTACCAAAGAGCATGTTTTCTAAAACATCTTTCACAAAACCTTTTCTCCATTTCACGGCATGTTTTCTTTAATTTACTAGCACAAATTTTTCTAAATTTGGATGCCAAGTATTCCAAAAATGACATTCCAGAATCAGTTCCATATATTATGGACTCCTAATCCATACTATTATTTTTATTTCTGTATTTTATACAAATATATTTTTGTTATGACTCCAGAGCATTTAATAAGACAAAAATTCCACCCAGATACCTTGTTTCAATTATCTCTTTTCTTCTGTGTTTGCATGACCAGCATCTGCATAACCATTTCCAAAATAAGACACTGTCCTTTTTGCATCAGCACTGTTAAGGTGTAATTGGAATAATGTGATAGGTTTGCTGAAAAACTAGATCCATGTACAGCATGGATGTTCATTGTAGAGAATAAGGGAATTGTGAGGCTATCAAGGAAAGGAACTTAGTAATTAAATCTTTCTCTGAAAAAGAGAGTAAAAGAAGCAATAAAAGGCTTTTGATGATAAACCTAACAACGACCTATTCATCATGTTTGTGGTGTAATAGCAAATGCGTCATTAATAATGTGTACCCTATTAAAGTATTTACTTCTTTGTCCAAATGTAAACATTTGAAATATCCTGTTAGCTGATTTATACCATATACCAGGGTACACCTATGCTGGCATTTGTCACTGTACCGAGATGGGCAGAGTTGAAAACTTTTATTTGACATGGGGTTCTCAGCAAATGTTGGTTGTGATGGAGCTGACCTCAGGACACTGCCTTTGGCTGCATTCCATCTCTGTCTCTCTGCTCTCGTGGTGCCGTGCTTTGTGAAGTGCTGTAACCTGCTCACATTTGTTCCTGTAGTTTTTATTGTGTGTTAACTATTATACATATACAACAGGCAGAGAATGAGAAACAGTAGAAAAGGCTCAATGAACCAGTTTTAAACATAGGGCATTAGGAGGGCTAAGAAGTGATAATGTGTTTGCAGAGGCAACAAAATAAAACATCAAGTGTAGACAATGTCCAGATCAAATGTTTTCATCATTTTATCCAAGTAATAAAAACAAAGCAGCTTGAAGGTTCCAAAGAACCCCCTTACCAGGTCTTGAGATTGTAGAAAGTCCGGACTGTTGCATGGTTCGAGTTATTTCCTAAAAAAATGTTGCTGTATAATGGCCTGACAGACCTTACACAAGAAGTTGACTCGTTAGCCAGCACTATTTTTAAATATTATAGCAAGCTACACTCCAGACTTTTTACAATCTCTAACCCTGATGAAGGGTGCCCCTAGGGATAAATAATCTTAATCAGTACATTATCTACACTTGGAGTTCTCTATACTTACCTCTCCAGACATGTTTTTCCAGGAACCCAGAGACAGCTCCTGTATGCCAGAGAGCAGCCTAACCACAAACAAATGTGCTCCTCATTTACATTACTATATTAAAAAGAGTGATAACTGTCATTCACCTCTGACCTTAAGTCTACTATACTGTTTTAACTGCAGACTGATATATTATACATGTGATATGATATGTGTGTAATATCTAGAGATGTTAGATGCCGATTACACCCTCCTTCTGTGTGATACCATGTTACTATTTCTGAGTGCCATTGACCGAACAAATATTGCTTTTATTATTATACGGCATGGCAAACTGCTTTGTTTAGCATATCCTTTGATGGATGTAATATATATTTTCACTCAGAAGGTACATGAATTGTAGGTGGATGCCACAATCCATGTTATTTAAGAATTTGCATTCTTCAGGATGTCACAGTTATGATGACCATGGCATATCTCATCAGGCACTGTCACTGATTGAATTAAAATACAGTACAATTCTGCTTATTTCATATATGAATCTCCTCATTAGAAATGTCTGGCATTGCAAAATTGATATACATTTGAAAACATTAAGTTGCCTTTATTTAAAGTCTATTCAATTAGGAAAAAGCAGCAGATGGTAGACTCCTAACAAACATGAATATTATTTAGCTGTTGATTGATGAATACATTAAAATAACAGTGATGGCAGAGTTAATAAGCAGATTAGTTATCTCAATCCCTGTGTGCGAACTACAGAGAACAAAAGTTAAATTATTTCTACACTGAACTAAGCCAAGTTGAATAAGGGATATTGTATTAATTTATATAAGCTATTCCACACCTAGCTTTTATCACAAGTGATTATGCTGCTTGTGTCCTGTTGGCTGCAATGTTTTAATTTTATTATATTGTAAACAAACACTATATATACTATTATAAGAAGCCACCCGGGTTGTGTTGGTCTCCGTAGCTATGAAAGCTATAAGTCTGAATGCAGAGGTGTGTGGAATACCTTGAAAGATCATTGTGTGTACATTTACCCCATAATATGCTGGGTGTTGTGGGTGATGTCACCATGTGCGCTTAGCTTCAGACCACGCATTCGATTAGCATTCTGGGGTAATCCAGTGTTTTGGGCTTCTAAATTAGCTCTTTTATTTGTGAGATCTTGTGCTCTTTCCCCTTCTTTTCTTTCACATTTGCATTCTTCAGGATGTCACAGCTATGATGACCATGGCATATCTCATCAGGAGGCTGGGAAAAATAAAAATGTGGTCAATCTGGGAGCCATAAGACAAGGCATGAAGCGATTCCAGTTCCTCCTCAATTGCTGTGAACCAGGGACTATTCCTGATGCCTCCATTTTGGCTGCAGCCTTAGATCTGGTAAGTAGTCAACTTAGGTTATGAAAAGAAAAATAGAGAATTCCAGTTAGGATAAAAAAATAACAGCTATGTGGACATGGCATTTCATTTGGTGAGGTTTATAATCACTTCATTTGAAGAACATTTATTGCCGTATGGAGGTGGCCTTTTTTGTACTATCAACATCCAAATTGTGAAACACAGATTGTATTTCCTGCATACCTAAATGGTACATTATTGAATCCTTCAAACAGTACTTCCAAAAGCAGACAGCAGTAATTGCTTTTTTCCTTTGGATATATATTCAACAATGTTGTGTTTTACCTGGAGTATGAGGATGAGTAGAAGGATTTCAACTGGTTGCGTATCGATGTGAAATTACGGATTTCATCACTGCCAGAGTGGAAAATTTCGGTCTTTGAGCTGCATAGGCAAAATTTGCTTGAAAGGAAACCATCTTCTCTTTTTTTCTTTAAATGGTGCGTTCTGTAGGAATGTATTTAAGGTAGTTTAATTTAGTAAGTGTTCTTTGGATTTGTGTTTTCCTTTTTTGTGTCTTCCATCATTATTTGAATATTTTCACTTGCAATTTTTTGTTTTACTTTTTTTATGTTTTTTGTGTTTTTCTTTCTTTGAAAATAACATAACATTATGAAGCTAATGAGGGGCATTTTGTTTCAGTGCAACATGTCCAGGATATTAAAAATGAGCTTCCATAACTCTTAGGAGCCATTTAAAGTCCATTGCACCCTTAAAACCCACCAAAACACACCTTATTTTCTTCTTCCTTATTGATTTCAATGCATTTGACAAAATGGAGAAATTTTTTAGAAATCTTGTGATTCCTGGTGAAATTTCAGGGAGATGAAAGCTCTAAATTTCATTCGTCTCCGCTTGAGTACTCCTTTAACCAAGTTTTTATTACATTTTTTATAAAATGTACTATTGTTTACTAAGAAAATAGTTAACTGTAACAGTACTCAAAGATCTTAGATAGCAGTTATTAGAAAATGATCATATTGTTAAGATATTTTTGCAGAGTGCTCAGGTTTATATATAACTAAATCTATAAAACTAATAATTTAGAATAATGGATGTACAGGTTATCAGAAGAGAGCAGATTCTATACTGTACTTGCATTGAAAGCAGAACATAATGTTTCCTTGCTCATTTCTCACATACAGCACTAATCTACATTGTAGAAATGCCAAGTAGTTACATATTTACATAGCTGATAAGGTTGAAAAAAGGCACAGGTCCATACAGATTAACCTATGTTTGTTTGGTTCAGAGTCTCCCTATAACCCTATATATTATGGGGAGCTAGTACCACTACCTGGGTACAAAGGACAAACATAGGATTACACATTTTGAGGCATTGTATGTCAATGCCCTTTACAAAAAGTCCTTCAGTCTGTCCCTTTATCTGCACATTCTCTTATATTCAAGGCAATAGAAGCTTGCATATGGTGCCCTATGTATATTTCTTCTCCAATGAAACAGGTAAAAAGGAGTTCCACGGGGGCGTGGCCTGGACGCGATGGTGGAGAGTCGCACTTAGGCTGAGCTCCGCCTGGACCCACTGCATCCGCACCCATCCGACCTGATTCCAGCAAGCCAGCTACCACTGAACCATGGCAGGGAAGCGGAAGACCTCCACAAAGCTGCCAAAGACCCCGAAACTGCCGAGGGGATCGCTGGAACACTTCCTCCGCGATCGGCGGACATGCGACTGGGCCGCAGCCAAGATGGCGCCCGGCAGTACACATGTTGCCGGCTCGCACTCAGGTATGCCTCGTCCCACACCGATCCCCCCAATCTTCCTACTTGGACCACTTAACTACCTGGCAGTCTGGGAGGGGGACATGGGGGTAAGTTTTTCGGAGGCAGAATCTACCAACATCCTTAAATATACCCACTCCTACTCCATAGACTCGAAGTCCAGGAAACAAATTATAAACTCCTCACCCGGTGGTACCGAGTCCCCCACAGCCTACACCGGAGCTACCCCTCAGTATCCCCACTTTGTTGGCGCAACTGTGGAATAATAGGTACCCATTTACACATCTGGTGGGACTGCCCTGCAAATCAATCTTTCTGGCGACAGATTCAGGCTGAAATCAAAACCCTCCTCGACATAGACATACCTCTTACACCAGCCCCTTTCCTACTTCATTCTGTACCCAACACCATGTCTAAATATAAATCTAGCCTTCTCCCTCACCTCCTCAACGCGGCCAAACGCTTGATCCCGCGCTACTGGAAGAAGATAAAGAATACTTAAAAAAAAAGGAGTTCCACATTTTTACTGCTCTAACACTAAGGACCTTTTCCTCAATGTAAGGGTAAAGCTCCTTTCTTCCAACCTCAAATTGTGACCGTGTGTCTTTTTTAAGGACTGTAAGCAGGTTTTTTACAGTGACTACCATTGATATATTTGTTCATTTTGATCGTATCCTCTCTTAAATGGTATTTCCACTTATGCCGTTAAATTTAAGAAACCCCTATTATGTGTTTGTTAGGTATTTCCATTCAGACAGCATACTTATATTTCTTAACATAATTTTTTTTTTTTTTACCTGTTTAATTGGAGAAGAGATATACATAGGGCACCATAGGCAAGCTTCTACTGCCTTGAATATAGGGGAATGTGCAGATAAAGGGACAGACTGCGGGACTTTTTGTAAAGTGCATTAACATACAATGCCTCGAAATGTTTAATCCTTTGTTAGGTCAGATGTTGTTTACATCTAATTTACAACTGATAATGAGTTCTGCCAACACAATAATGACAGGAAAACTCAGTTTAGAGTTTTTTTTTAAGTTATGCAATGTGAATGGGACCATATTACAAATGTACATTAGGTGTTATCACAATTTAGCTGCAAAAGTGGAAATAAGCTTTAAGCGCCTCTTCATAATAGCTGAGATCCTCAAGCCCTCTTATTCATTGTGTTGCCCTTCACTGAACTCTAAGTCAAGAACCATTTTCCTGGTGACCAAAACTTAACCACATATTCAAGATTAGGCCATATCCGTGTTTTGTAAAGGGGTAAGATTATTGATTTATTTGATAAATATATGCCCTTTCTAATGCATAAAAGTTAGATGCAACTTTGTACACTGTTGCCTACTCTGTGATCTATAAGCAGATCTTTTTTCCTCTAACTGAACCCCTTCTAACGTGTATTTTGCATGCATATTTTTAGCATCTAAGTGCATAACTTTGCATTTCTCCACAGTGAATCTCATCTGCCACGTAGCTGCCCAACATTGCTGTAACTTTGATACACCCTGGGCAGAATTTAGTTTCCTGCATAATTTGGTATCAGCAAACACTTAAATTGATCTCTTAATTCCAACTTCAATATTATTAATAAACAAGTTAAACAGCATTCGCCCAAAGACAAACCATTTACAGAATGAGTCAGTCATTACTACTTTCTGGACCAGTCCATGCAACCAGATTTCTATCCATGTGCATGCAATTTCTTCAACTCTAGTAGACCTTATTTTATAGATTAAATGTTTGTGTGGTATCGTATTGAAAGCCTTAGCAAAATCTAGATAAACTATGTCCACTGGTCTTCCATTATTAAATGTCTTGCTCACTTGCTCATAGAATGACAACAGATTGGTCTGACAAGAGCGGTCTTTCATAAATACATGTTGGTTGTTACTTATCATACCTTTTTTGCAGACAAATTCCCCTTACTATTCCCTCAAATACTTTGCAAACCATTGATGTTAGGCTGACTGTTCTGTAGATTTCTGCTATACATCTCAATCCCTTTTTGAATATTGGTAGCACATTTGCCCTACGCCAATCATTTGTTGCCAGGTGTCTTTAAAAAATAGAAACAGTAGCTCGGTTATAACTGAGCTAAGTTCCCTGAGGACTCGGGGGTGTAAGCATCCCGGACCTGGTGATTTGTTTACATTAATTTTCTCTAACCAGTCCTGTAATCTGTCAGCCACAAAAACACCTTCAGTACATCATTATTAGCTATATTGTTAAGACTATCGAACCCATGTTTTTCATTGGTAAAAACTGTAGAGAAAAATCTGTTTAGTATATTTACCTTCTCTCCGTTGCTTGTGACCAACTTCCCATGTAAATTTTTTATGAGGCCTATGTGTTCTATCTTAACTTTTACTGTTGATATATTTAAGCAGAGTTAAACATGCGTGAAAATATTGCAGGTAAACACACACTAGTAGATGGTGTACACTCTTTATGAAAGTGCCATGTGTGGTGCGATACAATAGCATAGATTCTGTATGTTGTAATTCAATAAAGAGCTTGCTATCCAGTGATGTGGTTATCCATTATTATTGGTTCTTTTTGGATGGTATACCTGTTAATCGTCCTTCTGCCTTAGGACCACTGGCTATACAAGTTCCTTTCTCAAACCCAATCTGTCTTACTCACCTACTGCCACCCAAGTGGCTGCTAGTGTGCTGGTGGCAGGACAGATAGAATGATTAATAGCAAGCAAAATCAAAACTTGAAGTTTTTAGCACAAGAAAGATTAAAGTCATCCCTCAGGATTGTGGCTAGTCACAGATCCCCCCTCTGTGCAGTAAGAAGCATTTGCTTATCTTGCCCTCCGGGCTTCTGCTACAGACTGGAAATAACCCTGTAAACCTAATGCAGTCAAATAGATTTTCATCTCATCTCAGTTAAAACCTTATATGACATCTAAGGTTTGTAGTGCTACAAAACCATTCAAAGAAGCTACCATTTAAAGATGTTTTATTGGGGTTGTAGAGTAATTGTGTGCAAGAGCATTCATAATTTGGGCCTAATATAAAATGATATTTTGTTTAATATTATTCTTAATATTATTATTGCTTCTACAACTATAACTTTTATCCACAGCATTGGTCCCTTTGTCTGACTATGCTGACAGCTGTCCTACTGCCTGTCCTTATTTTAGGCATCTTTTATGTTAAGTTCCATGACATGTTTTATCATAGTTGACACTGTCAGTTGCTAAACAGAGAGTTACTATTGTTTGCTTTTGATTATCATCATTGATTGTAGCAATCTGTGGTTATTTTCAGCTTTCCATCGTCTGGTTCATTCCTCTCCATTTGTGATTTGTGTCTGTGTCCTGTGATTCCATATCTATCCATTCTCTCCTCATAGCTTCATATTTTTCTTGTCTCTTCAGCAGATGCCAGGTAAGATAAATATAATGGATAATTAGAGGAGCTGTAAGCTATTTAATATGTATGTGAGTGCTACATACTATATCGTAAATATACTATTTTGCAGGAATGACCTGAATATAATTCACTCAAAATCTATACATGTCTTATATAACACGTCAGGTGTTTTAAAGCTGATGAATATTTAAATGTTAGCACTCTTTGAAAGTATCTTTGTATGAGTAAGAAAATACCACATTTGTACTGCTGTGTTCTCACATTATCAGTTAATCTAAAATCTAAAACTGATTTTTTAGTATTAGAGAGATATTAGCAAATTACTTCACTCACCAGCCTTTTTTTTTATTTCTTAAAGGCCTTATCTTCTCTAGTGTCTAACTACAGTATATTCCCCAACCTTGCAGTTCAGCAGCTCTTCATCAAAGGCTAATTTTATTAATTCTGCTGCTTTCTTTGTACTGTTCAAATATAAATAATCCAGCAGTATTTTAATAATTATGACAGCCCATGGGCAAAGAAGGGATCTGAAGCAAACAGAACTTTTTGGTGGTGACCCAAAGATATTACAGAACAGTATGGTGGTTGGCGCTGAGATTTGTGCCCCGTGTACGGTGTGACCCCAAATTGTAACTTGATCCTCAGGTTCATCCTAATGCTTAACTCTCTTCTTTATCAACCACTCAAATCTAACCCAAACCCTAGATCAACCTTTTTAGACATTTTGAGGCCAGAGGAACCCTTGAAATAGTTTTTATGTCTCAGGGAAACCTTGCTACAGCCAATAGGATTATAACATGTAACCAGTAAGGTGTAGAAAGTTTTATATAAAAAAACAAAGATCTTGTCACACCCAGGGTGGTCAGTGGAAAATTCCCCCTCTTACATGTGTTGTCAGTATAGACAGGAGATAAATCTACCAATGGTCAAATGTCAAGGAGCCCTCACTGAAAGTACCCTAGGGCTCCACAGAACCTTGGTTGAGAAAAGATGCCCTCAATTAACCATTAATACTTAACCAACTAGCTAAAATTGAAACTGTTAACTAACCCTGAAAGGTCCGGTAGAAGCGACTTGCGACCGCGACGCGCGACATGGAGTTAAGACAGCTCCATTGAATAGCATTGGCCCGGCGACTTCTCGCGATATCGCGCGGCAAAAATGCGCGATATCGCGGCGGAAATCGCGCGATAAGTCGCTACATGTGAACGGGGCCTGAAACCTATCTCTAAACACGAAATGTATCACTAACACTTAACTCTTAACCTCACTCTTACTCTAAAAAGTTACCCTTAACATCTTAGGCCCCATTCACACTGAGCGACATGAAAATCGCGCGACTTTGAGCGATATTGCGCAACGAGCGATATTGAGCGACGTGTCGCACGACATCACGCGACATCTTCCTATTGGGCTGTATGCAATCAGGAGCAATATTGCTCTAAAAAAGGGTCATGTAGGAGCGACAAGCTACCAGCGACGAGCTACAAGCGATATTGAGCGATATTGAGCGACGAGATGTGAACAGCTCCATTGAAATGTATTGGTGAAGCTACATAGAGCGATATCGCGCGGAAATATGAGCGATATCGCTGCAAAAATCGCTCAATGTGAACGGGGCCTTACTGTCACCCTAAAAGTTAGTGTAACACTGTAACTTCAAACTTACTCTAATGTTACCCTTGAACCCCTGACCCTAGTCCAACCCCTCAGCTTAGCCCTTGACCTCTTAAATCTTTAAGTAATTCTTCTTTGGCAAAAACATCAGGCTAGTCAGGACCAAATGTCAAATTACATAGTAGAGAGGCCTATACTGTTTACAGGGATGCAATTTTTGGAGAAGTTAATGTAAAGGTCCTACGTTTGGCTTACTTACATTTAAGCATTAAAGGTTCATAAAGCATAATGGACTATATGAAAAAGAGAATTCTTCTCTTTTAAAAAAGTTCAAATTCCACAACCTTTCCACTATTCACAGATATTTCTAACACATTTTCCCACTCTTTTTCTCTCTCTCTATGGTAGGAGGCTCCTGTGGTGGCCAGAGCTGCTCTCTTCCTGGAGTGTGCACGTTTTGTGCATCGATGTAATCGTGGAAATTGGCCAGAATGGATGAAAGGACATCATGTTAACATTGCCAAAAAGGGCCTTTCTCGTGGTCGATCCCCTATAGTGGGAAACAAACGCAATCAGAAGCTGCAATGGAATGCAGCCAAGCTCTTCTACCAGTGGGGAGATGTAAGTTGACTTCATAGTTGGACCCTAGTTGTCTTTTTTCATTCTCAGTGATTCGGAAAACAGACTCCTAAAGTAGGCATAATAGTAGTCATTTTACACATTTACAATGATGGAATTCATAAGCTGATCAATGAGCTTAGAAATGGAATATGAGAGTTAAATTACGCATTTGTTTCATGCGATGGTGAAGTAGAAAGGGCAATCCATACTATGTTTTCTCTTCTATTTCAGAGCCCAAAAGTGTAAATTATACCATTGTGGCAGTCGATAAATGTTATTTATTTTTAGTCAAAAAATGACAGTGCAGTTAAGGCAGAAAGTGAAAGTGTTTTCGAAATAGTAGGCTTCAGGTCTTCAATTACTACATACATAATGTTAATGTTATTTCAGGTAATAGGTGCCCGTCTCAATGAGGTTTGTCACAGCGAAAGTGAAAGTCCATCCAATCTGATAGGTCTTATCTATGATGAAGAAACCAAGAGAAGGCTGAGGAAAGAGGATGAGGAAGAAGACTTTTTAGATGACAGTAAGGAGAATACCTTTACTACAAGAAACCCTGCTTGTAAGGAACTCTGCTTTAGGAGCACTCTATTTCTTTTTTTTTCTCTTGATAATTCTTGCTTGGATATTTTAGACATGTTTATCACCTGTTCCTTGTTTCTCATATCAGATCGGCCAACAGTGTTTTTTATACCAAGTCAGGAAGTTTAAAGGATAACACTCATCCTTTAAACGTCATATTGTCCCTAGTCCTGACCTTGTGTAAAGAGCCTGCTATGGCTGGATCGTCCTGAGTGACCAAGATGCAGGTGGCAATCCTACACAGAGGCTGTATGCACAGAACTCTTTGCACGTGCCTTTGGTAGACAGAGTAATAGAGGCCCCCAAAGTTTTTTCTTGGATATTAGACTGAGGTAAAGTTTTCTAAACTCTCTTATCTATCTATGCTGATCTTCAAGTATACTATGGTGAAAACTAGAAATTGTTGGGTTTTTCACATTTCATAACAACAGTAACAAGAAAATAAAATTATCATGGCCTCAAAATTGGCAAAACATATGTTTTAAGTTTGTCTATACTAGCTGAGATCAATTTTTATGTCATTATCTAAATCACAATAATAGGACATAATATAGAAAATTACGAAATATATTTTACAGCTTACCCAACAATCTCTAGACTCAAGAAAATTAGCATTGGTTTTAAAGATGACTATGCCCAGTAATTCTATTGGAGAACTACATAGCATTGCTCTATGATGTTTCTGTGATCTTTATTTCTTTAGCCGAAATGGAATAAAGATTACAATGTAAATTATTCATAGCTTCTGCATCCCCTAACCTAAAGTGCAGCATCTGTTTGTGTCCAGATGGGTCTATACCATGTGCCTTATTGCTCTGTGGAAAATACTATGTTATACGTCTTTAAGGCTCTTTCTGTGCAGTCTGTCTCCATATATTTCCAAGGCATTATGTTCTAAATTATCTACACTGAAATTGAATCATGTCCTAGTCAGCTCGTTTTCCACCAAAAAACAAAACCGCAAATGTAAACAAAAAGTTAAAAATGACATATGAATGAAAATTATATTGTTATATTGCCCAACGTTACTTCAGTTTAATTGCCTTACTACTAAAGCACATATCTGAATAATGCCTTGGCCATATGTGTGCAAACTCTAATTCTTCTAACTAGAAAATGCCTGAATGTTAAACATTTTCTAGTTGGCAGTGATTTGTTGATAAAATTAATATACAGCTTTTGCAGTGTTAAAACCTAAGGGTTGTGCTTACTTTAACTGGCAACTAACCTATGAAACTAAAGACAACAGATTGAATTATAAAGTCAATGTGTATGAACCAGATGTTTTTCATATTTGTACATTCAATTGCACTTTTATACCAATTGAAGAATTTGGGTATTACTGCTTAAGAGTTAAAAAATATAAACAAAATATTTGCAGGGCAATATAGAGAGTCTTTTTCTAATTTGAAATAATTTCATTTAATTTGAAATCATTTCATTTTTTTTGCAATTGAAACTGTCAAAGTCAGATAAGAAAATTAATAAGAGGAAGGTTTGAAAAACAATTTACTAGTATAAAAATATATAATACGTTGCAAAGGGTGATTCACATTTTGAGTTCATACTTTATTCTGTAAATACTTTAGAGACCTGAATATGGCATGAAAAATAAAAAGAAACAATAATAATTAGAGCAGTTAGTCGCATTTAACGAGAATGTTCTGTAATGTCAAAAGACATTTCATTGCTTATCCAAGGATGAGTAGCAAAATGTACTTGGTTTTGATTTACTAAAGGCTAAATGGTGTGGTGAAAATTAATTTTGCAAAGAATACACAGTCACGTGCAAGGAAAATGAAAACCAGTATTTTTGCATGCACATGATTGGGTAATGGAAGTCAGCAGAGCGTCACCTTATTCACTAAACTTAGGGAAAATTCCCTTGCAAAGTGAAAATGGCCATGCAAAGTGAACAGCCTTCTTACCTTTGGTAAATTATTCCCTTTGTGTCTACATAGTAAACCAAACCTATACATTGCAAATATAACAATAATATACATGTATATATGGATCAGCCAACAAACTCACAATGTCTCTTATGACAGTTACTTCACCTAGCAGAGGAACACCAATCACAAGTGGGTTCCTTGTTTAGGGCAACATAGGAGGAATGGGGAACTGTATGCAGCAGCCCAAACAGAAATAATACCAATTAAACAAGATTTATAACTTATATAATTCCTTTGTTCCTCTATATTGAAGTTGTTGTATACTTCCCCATTAACAAAAGAAGGCCATCTCAACAGAGTGTCATCTAATATCTATGGGCCATTTGCTAGTAAAATGTAGGTGTTTTTTTTTGTTTTAAATAATAGGGAAGGATTATTTTTTGCTGTGTACCATTTGGGAGATGTCTCTTCACTTCTGTTCTTGATTTGCAACTGGAAATAGGAAGAAATCTATCCAAAGCAAACTCTACAAGAATAATCTTGTAGAGTTGTCATAGAAACAAGGGACTCCATTGGAGGATTTTATATCGTTTTGTGCTCTAATGAAAACTCAAAATGTTGGGCTTTCCACTTACTTTCTGTCTCAGTGACAATGGTCACTAGGTCAAATAAATGGTGGCTTTAAACACACATTAAATGTGTTATTCCTTAATGGACCAAACCGCAGGAAGTATGTAGCCAGTAGACCATGCAGTGCATATTTCAAAAGTGAACAATTTACATTTCACAACTAAGTAGCATTCACCTTTCCTGAAGGCTAGGGCTACACAGGCAGATATATGTCTTTGCTACTCAGAGACTTAAAGCTGAGCTCCAGGAATATTTAAACACAGTTTATTCAAGGGATGGATGGTTGAAAAATTCAATTTAGGCCCTTTTATATACAGCTAGCATAAGCAACTGAATCTCTTTGCAGACTGGGAGAGGGAGGGCCAACACTCTAAGACAGGGGTCTCAAACTCAATTCCCTCGAGGGCCACTCGACAAATTTTTTTCTCCCACGGGGGCTGCTCGCCAAATTTCATACTTTAAAATAGAATTTAACTATATGCGATATGGTACTATAGACCCTAATACACACACTACAAGGCCCCATTCATATCTGTAGGTTTAGGTGCAATTAGGGATTCCTGCGTCAGAAACTTGCGTTTTCCTGCAGCAGGAATCCGTAATCTGGCGTATACAAGCAGACGTTGTCACCCATTCATGTTAATGATCAGGTGACAGGAGTTGCATGTAAACTCCTGCACACCTCATGTAATGATATGTGATATTATTACATGCGGTTAGAAAACACTCTCCCTGGATGCACAATCATTGTGTCCAGGGAGGGTGATTGATTCCTAACCGAATGGAAACGCAAGTTCCTGATGCAGGGATCCCTAATTGCACCTAAGATACAGGTGTGAATGGAGCCTAATACACTTATACCCCCCCACGATCCCTGGTGATCTAGTGGCGATTAGTAAGGTCTGCTGCAGATCTTACTAATTAACCCTTTCTGCCTGCGTTCAGCGAAGACTCCGGCCGAAAGGATCCAAGTGCCGGCACAGAAGCAGCTATGCGGTCTGCAGCTGACAGAGATGCAGATCGTGTAGCTGCTCCCGCAAGTCTGATACGCGGTCCGTTACCGCGTACCAGACTTGTGAGCTGGCTGCGGGCCACATTGTACTGGTTTGGCCCGCGGGCCGGTACTTTGAGACCACTGTTCTAAGACATGCTTTCAGAAAAGAAGAGGGTAGATGGATGGGAGAATGGAGGGATGACCTTTTCAGTGTACTGCTGGGCCTTTATTGTCCATTCACAATTTGATGTCAGTTCTGGACAAGGCTTTATGGCTAACTGTAGAGATACAGCAGAGATTTCCAGTATCTGGCTAAGTTGTCTGGCCGGAATGCCTGCATGACAAGACTGGCTGAACAGAATTTCAAATCATTTGACAAGTATAATAGATAACAGTTAGGTATTTCAGCTCTGTATTTAAGCTGTGTGCCTGAAGCTCAGATTTAACCACTTGCTGCCCATCACCTCATTTGATATACAGTCATCTATGTTGCTTTAGGTTTATTTTGAGTTACAGTTCTCATATCTCTTTACATTTAGAACAACCCAAACATCTGGATCATGCATGTAGACCTAAAAAAGACTGTAGCACATCTCGGTGACAAAACTATGCAATTCTGTTCAAGTTAAAGTGACCATTATATGCTGGTTATGTTGTCCATTTAATTGCTTTTTATGTTTTTTACTCATATGTATGTGGGACTATTTGTAATGTCAGATGTGCAACCAGATCTAAAAAATGAAAACATAAGCTATACTCATTTTAAAAAAAGTGTCATTTAATATTTATTTTTTTAATCAATATTTTGCATTGTATTTTGCACAATATGCATTTTATATAATTATATAATTAGATATTATTTGGACTTTTGAATATGGGCAACCTGATGAATAAATCATCTTGCCTAGCTTTATACTCTGGTTGCATCTTTCTGAATGATTAACATTGCTTTCTTTTTCTAGCTATAGTATACTGCATGCATCTTACATGCTGATTACTATATGGTCTTTGCATGCACCTTATTGAAACATGTTGAGAATTCTGCCTATTTTAATAGATCCTTATTAGTAAAATAATATTATTTAACGCCATATTGCAGAATAGTAGGATACCACAATACAGTACAGAACAGAAGGATATTACAATATACTCAAATTGTGGTTCTTTTAATGTTTACAAGGACCGATGTAGAGAAGGTTGGCAAAGCATTTAGGCACTTTGCATTTTTTAGGCCATTGTATCTAACTTCTGAACAATAGCTATAGGAGAGCCCAGGACTAGATATAGAGTGGAATATAAGATTTTATTGTTGTCTCTGTCCCTTTTGGAAAAATGTACCTCTCCTATTTTCTTGCTGACATCAGTACAGGTAGGGAGGGGAACTCCTCCAAATGATAATACCAAATCAATAACTCCAGCTCTTAATTT